TGTATTTAAAGATCCCCTCCAGACATGTAATAAGACAAATTGTCTGCCTGGAACAGACAATTTATTTCATAAAAAAATATAATTTCCACTTTAAAAACCTGAAAGTGTAATTTATTCCTTTTAACTCATTATAAATATGCAAATTATGTTCATTTCTAAAGTTTTCCTGCTGGACACAAGATGGACCAGGATTGGCTTCTAAACTGTGGTGTCACAAATCATGCTCGTTGGCCCAACTCTTAATCAACTTTTTTAATAGCACAGAGACACTTGCTTTTTATGGTATAAAAGTAGCAAAAAACAGCAAATGAGATTTCAGAAATTGCTTAGCACTTATTACATCCCCTCCCTGCTTTAAATTTCTCAAACTTGATAACTCGAGTACAGACTGAAACATGAGTAAAAACAAACTGCTCAATTAGTCAAGTCTTGTGGGACTCTGTTTCCAACTCAACTCCGTGTTTTCCATATTGCCCAGACAAATTTGGCCCTAGGCGACTCAGCAAACATTATTTGGCAGTGCAGAGATCTTGCTAACATTACAAACTACCGCAGGCTAGACTTATTTGCCCGAGGAGGACGGTAAGTGAAAGGCATGATGACTGTGTCACCATGGAAACTGGTCAAGAAATGAATTATTCCAAGTTTAATCTGACTTCACAACTGCAAATCTCCTCCCTCCAGCCCCTCGTTAAGCCCCCATATGACTGGAAGAGTGTGTGTTTCCAGACTGTCAGGGCGTGCGTCACAGTTTGACCCATGGGCAGAGGAATGAAAAGCCAAACCGTCCAGCAGAGTGACTGATGAGCTCTGGACCGTTTACTAAATCAACCCCTGAACCCACGAGTGAATCATTTATTCAACTATAGATAGATGATTATGTGCCCTAAGATAAATTGTGTATGCGAGAGAAGCAAGAATTAATGGCAAAACATTGATTAAAAATGGTTTAGATTAGGCACCATCATAAAGCCTGGTGGTCTCTATGCCTTATTCATGACCATGTAAAAACCTCATTTGAAAATAAAATGTAGCTTCCCTCGGTGAGGTGATTGAGTATGAATTACTGACTTTAGGAATTGAGGTATTCAATACATATTCTTTCAAGTATTTATATTTTAACATTGCTACAACGTGAAACTATCAAATGTTGAGGTGTGCACTGGTTTTTGAATAGCATTTTAAAAATACAGTTCCCTATTTATGCTGCCTGTTTCTCTAATGTACTAGCGAGCCTGTATTTAAAAGAATACTCTTACATTAGTTTGTTGCAAGTCAAACCTTGCAGCACACAAATCAGGAAAAGATCCAGCGAATAGACAGGATGTTAGAGATATTGACACCACCTCTCAAAAAATTTGACCAGACAAAAACAAAGTATCTTAAATCATTTAATAATTTGAATTGATTATTTTTATTTATTCATTTAATTGTTAAATCATGTTTTGGGATTCTGCATCTTGTTCCATAAATGTGATGTAATGTTTGAATAAACCCTGAGTCATAGGCCTTTTTCAGGGAAGATATTTTGACATGTCACAGTAGAGAAAGCACAGGTGTAACTAATAATTGAATTCCACTGAGCTGCGTCTGTTTCAGGGTCCTGCTATTGTGCATGCATGGCTCACTGCCACACTGTCGTGACTAACTGGGACACTTGAATAGAACACAGTCATTGTTAATGTCATCGTAACACCTGTGCTTTTAATTAAAATAATGATAATTTTGTTTGCCTTCTTAGGAGCACTCTATAAATGTGTCACTCAGTTATCATCCCCTTTGCACAAAGTAAATAAAATCAGTTTGAAGAAGCACAAACAGGAATTTAGACCCAACATGTTGCCAAAGTGAGTGAAATTTGCCAGAATGAAGTTCTTGTAGGTAATCTTTATTAATGAGTTTATTTATTTTGATTGGCCTACTTGAATCCATCTATATTATAGCCACTGTGTGCTGAATGAAGGACGTGAATTAATGAAGGAATGACCAATGCATTGTGGAATTATTCAGACGCACAATCAACAATAAACCAAAAACTCTAATATGTATGCACACAGTATCTAATAACACAATATATTGACCGCATACAAATTTAAACAGCCTACAGTCCCAGGAGAAATGCAACAATGGAATGTATGCAAATAAATACATACAAACAACCTTAGATAAATACAAAATATACAAAATGTATGCACCAGTTTATGTCATGGTACCACACTATGTCTGATTGCATTCATGAATAAATAATATACAGCCTATGATATCTTTATCCATCATAATTTATTTTTATTTTGCTGTTCCATGTTTCAGAAATGTATTCAGGGCGTTATTGTTATTATTGTTATTATTATTTATATTGAATATTCGATACAAACCTGGTTATAGAAGATACTTAAACTTCACTTAGAGTACTCAACACAACTCAACACCCCACACATTCTCTCTCTCTCTCTCTCTCTCACACACACACACACAAAATTGCTTTATTGGAATGAACAACACCAATGCTGCAGCATAGAGCATCAAGAATCAATGAAGCAGAATAACTATATTTCATAAAAACAATTTTCAAAACATGTTGTGTGTATGTGTATATTTGTGCGGGTGTGATTTTGTACGAAAGGAATAATCATTAAATAAACAAATAATAACAATAAGCATTGATGTTATTGCGATATCTTAAACAAACAACCAACAACAACCAAAGATAATTATTTTCTATTATAAACTGTGTTTCCACTAGTTATTCTCAAGTCAGAGATGGATTTTGTTGCATTTTTGAGGGATTTCTTGCAGTAAATAGCGAAGTTTCTGCCTTTTGATTCAAATTCGTGGTATATTTTATAGCAGTATTTCTCTCTTATATTATATATATTTATATTTTAGGCATTGGCCACTCTCGAGCTGTCATTACCCATCAAACCACGCGGTGGTGCTGTGACGCTTTAAACCACCTTCTCACACTCAGTTGCGTCACCTGAGACACTTCCGGGTTGCACGCTTCCGACACATCTCGTGACTGTGTGTACTGCTGCTGTGTGAAGTGGAGGCAGTCGTTATTGATGGGGGGCGGACGACCCCCCCCTCCCCCCCAGATGAGTCCAAACATGGGTTTCTTCACTTAAAGCTGCTGTACAGGACGAACCATGTGGAGAGTTAAAGGTTTTGTTGGACGAGGTGAGAGAAATGTCATTGACACTTGAAGAATTCCTCCTCTGGTCAACCCAGTGCCATGTTGTTTCTCTACGTAACGTTAGGTTCATTATTAACTAGTTTTACCAAGAAGAAACGCGTTTTTTATTGTGATTAGCGAAACTTTAGCTGTCCACAGAGGTTAGATAACAGTGCTAGTGAAAGTCAGTTACTTTCTATTAACAGTTACTGCTCAGTTGGTTTATTTTGGTCGATGTCGGCTCCTGTTACTGAGCGACCACCTGTCCCAACCGGTTCCTGGACCTTTGGATGGTAGTAAAGTCTGCAGAGTGTGTGTATATGTGTGTGTATATATGTGT